CAGCCCCACCTTCTGCATCTCATTTACTGTCAGAGATAAGAGATGGGAAATGTTTCAATGTTTTATTTTTGTGCAGAAATTCCACCCTTTCTAAAGATTCATTGTTTCATAAAATTAACCACAATGAATTTATGTCATGCTAATACCATATTAGGCGAGCTTTACAGTTGTGATTAATGTTTTTCAGCTGATTATCCCTAAGAATTGCATGAGAGAGTAGATGTATGAGTAGATTTGTAAATGGGGGGGGGGGGGGCAACCAAAAAAACACAAAATAATCCAAATTTAAAAATCAAGGTATAGATACACTTGACTGGCTTTGCAATTTATATGTGAAAGGGATATTCTACTTGGCAATCTGATACAAAACTAACAAGAAATGCAAGTGATAACGGTGCCCCAGTGACCTCAGTAGACAAATGTTAAATGAAACGGATGAATGGACAACCACATCCAAGGCATATTATGCACAGTGCTTTAGTGAGCCAAATGTAGGGCGCCAACAGTTTTCAAGGTTTTTTCTTTTTCAGTTCAAACAATGAAAGAGATGTGTGCTGAATTGTCTTTAAACTTTAAATGCTCACAAGTATTATTCCAATAAAAATAATTTGCACCTTAACATGCCTGAACAGGTGATCTCACATGCACAACTCCTAAGAACAAAAGGAGAACCATGTGCTCCAACAGAATCCACAGAAGAATCCTGGGACATTGGAAGTACATAAAGTAATGTAAGGGCATTAGGGAGCTAAAATCAACAATGTCTTGCTTGCAAGTGCAAAGCAGTGGAATATCTGTTAGTTGGAACTCTGAGACTATTCTTTACAATAGAGGTCCCGGTCACACAAGCCAGATGATCCGCCACTGAAGGGAGGCAAATCAGAGCCGGAGCAAAAAGAACCGTGGGAGCGTGATCCGATGTGCCCCCGTAGCTCTGTGCTCCGTACCCCGGCAGCCAATTACACGGTGCACAGCAAACCGGCAGTAGCGCAGTTGCGCACATGCATGGGATGGGGAACGGCAACAGCTGCGACAGCCTACCGGCGCTTCCCCGACCAGACGCCTTCCATTGGCCCACATCATCCGGTAGGTACTGCTGTTTTGCTAGTACCTTTTTGATGCGCGTTTGTGGGCATAAGGGACGGATCGGGGACAGGTGCAAACCGCTTCCCAGATGTTGCAGTGTGATCGCGCCCGCTTGATGCACCCCTGATCCATCCCTCTTGTGGATCAAATCCTCCCGTGTGACCAAGACCAGAGTTAATCTGAGCAAATACTGCAAAGCACAATTTTGTGGAATCTGAAACCATCTGCCTGTTGAAAATGCTGCATACAACCCACGATCATGGGGAAATTTTGAAAAACAAGCATTTCCATTCTACTCCCAATCTTGAATTGTGCAAAACCTTCACAAAACAGAAGCTGCAAAAGTAGGTCGATGTGAATTATTCTGATTTAATTCAAAAAGTTGAAATGGCAATTTTATTTCCTTCATTTCTAAATGTAAACCCTACCTTCCTAGCACCAAGAGACCCATCCTATATTCCACAGCATACACTTCACATCACATGGTATGAAAGAAAGAGGCAGTGAGCCAGATTAATTACTGTACCACAGGCAAGAGAAACCAGATTCGCCAAACTTCTCCTTTATGCAAAGGTTAAGGAGGGAAAAGCATTTTGGAAATCACTCCTAGTATATCAGAAACCGCACATAAAAATAAAAAGTATTTTTTTAAAAAAAAAATGCACTTTACAAAAGTGCATCATTCCAGTTAAATTTAATCCAAGCACTTTATTTGCTGCTGAGCTACAGTGCTTAGAATTGAGACAACAGACATAAATTGTTGTTACCGAAAATAATTACACATCTCAGTGCTAAACATTTACAATTTAATCATTTCAAGAACATGTTATATCTGCTTTAGTAATCATAGCAATATAAAGATGGAAGGAACTGATTAGTCTGGTACTATTTTATTTAGGTAACAATGATCTACAGCAGAGATTAGCGTTTTATAAACTGTTTTTTGCTCTTTCTCCAACAAAAGCATCGTCATGGCTGCCTTAAGTCTTGTAAAGGATTATTCTTTCTATAAAAGAGATTCATTGAGCTTAACTCTCAGTTCCCTATTCTCAAATCATCAGTAAAACCATCTACTTTACCCTAATGAGGGCTCTAGTCTCTGAACTAGAAAAAGCTGTTGCTAAGCAACAGTAATGACATCAGCAACCTGTAACATTTTCATAGAAAAATATAAAACCAGAGGCAGTCACAGCTCCTCTCACTTATGTAAATGAGATTTAAACAGTCCCCTCCTTTCCCATCTCATTCTTCCAGCATATCCTAAAATAACTTTGCGATCAGCACCATGTCTGAACTTGCAATTTCTGTCTCTTCAATCAGAACAACTGCAGAAAGAAAGGGACAGAAACATAACCAAGGAACAGCTACAAAGATTAAACAGAGGAAGTGAGAAGAATGTTTGATACATTTTTGTGAGAAGTGAGAAGAATGTTCGATATAAAAACATCTGCCTAAAGTGAGACAGAATGGATATAGGCAATCAGATGTCACAGTTAAAATCACCAGTACTGTGTAGTGGTTGGAATATCAGACTAGGATATGAGATAACTCAGGTTTAAACCCTCACTTTGCCATGGAAGCTCCTGGGTGACCCTGGGCCACTCATTCTCCCCTCGCCTAATCTACCACACAGGGTTGTTGTGAGGATCCAATGGAGAAGGGGCAGATGTTGTAAGCCACTTTGGGTTCCCACTGGGGAGAAAAGTGGGATATACATGAAGCAAAGAGATCACAAGGAATGAGATGTCAGTTCCTGAGAGGAGATCTTGAAATCAATGATAAGGATGCAAAGTAAGCAAGCACTGCAAATCAGAAATGTGTTTTTTGCACTTTAACCAAGTGGATAAGGTGCCAACATGCTAACACCTGGACAGAATTGTATCACTACTAGAATAAAGCCAGAGAATTCTGATTCTTCCCCCCCCCCAGACCAGAGTCTACTTGCCTCTATGCCCACTCTCACTGAGGAATGCTAAAGGGAAACTGAGGGAACCTTGTTGTTATTTGTGGCCAACAAAATTCATTTGGAGGGAAGAAAAGAACCAATGTGCCCAGAGAACAAGTACAGGCGATTAAAAGCGCCATGGCTCGTATATTACATGCAAAGATTATTTTCAAGGATGTTGTAGCTATTTCTGGGAGGGAAGGCAGTTTGGCATAACCCAATCTTGTCAGACTGGAAGCTAAGCAGCGTTGGTATTTGGATGGGAGATCACCAAGTAAGACTCTGAAGAAGAAAACACTGGCAAACCACCTCTGTTTCTCACTTGCCTTGAGAGGACCTTCTGCGGTCACCATAAGTTAATTGCAACTTGATGGCACTTCTGTATGTATGCATGTATAGCTACTTAAATAGTTTATCTAGCACTTTAAGTTTGCAGAATTTACCACTGTAGCTCTGTTTATGTGAAAAAGGAGTAAAGATAAGTAGCAGGGAATGCAGGAGAACTTCCTCAATTAACCAGGCATGTCCTAGTTCCATGCAGCCAACTCTAGGACAGCTGCTGTTTCAGTTGCCCTTCTGTTCTCACCAGGCTTTAGCTGTGGTCCTATAGGGAAAGCCAGGTCCACAGACCCACCAGAGTGCCCATGCATGACTCAAATAGAAGGGTGGTGGCCACAGCTGTCCACCAACTACAGTCTTGTTGAGTCTGGAGTGGGATTACTTGCTGCCTTCCCCTTCGAGCCCAAAGCTTCTATGGGCCGCTGTTTTGAATGCAGGACCTTATATCAAGGCAATCTCAAGTCCCCGCAACGACAGTGAGGCTGTGAATGCTTCAACTCTACAGCTTTTGCTAGGCTCATCTGTCTCATAGGACTCAGGCTGCAAGGTGTGCCAGTTGTCCCTCTCTCTATAGGGCCCCCTGGCTGAAGAAGAGCCAGCTGCTTCAACAAGTTTCTGCAGGCTTAGAGTTTATTGCTGCATGCTGCTGTTTACTGCCAACAATCACTAGCGGCATGTGGACAGCATTCATGCACAACCCTCACTCATGCCTCTGCATAATTTGGCTGTCCCTAAACTATGGGGCCATCCTCCAGCCCACCCTCTCCTAGAGGCACCAATGCATCTGGACCAAAGACATCCACTTTATTAACATGTAGGTTAGTGATTCATACTAGGGAATTGTGGGAAGTATCTACATATTTTCAAGGACATTCAGAACTTGGGAAGGAGGCAAATGGGAGGCATTTGGGATTTTAGGAAGCTCCTGGCCTTCTCCGCATCTGTAGTGGCTTCTGACAGGCTGTAGAGAGTTGTTTTATACTGCTTCACCCCATTTTGAGGATAAAATTTCAGATCCTAAATTCTTCCACCAGGCCCTTAACACTGTATCACACTGCAAATAGGAAGCAAACCTATCATCAATGAGTTGGCTGATATGACACATGATCTGAGATCTGTGTATCATAAATATACAAATATAAATAAAGTTTACTTGTCTGGAGTGCTGTTTTAATTACCTGATTTTTTACATGTGGCTTGTGGAGAATTTTATGATAGTACTGTGTACTTGGTGGGTAGTAGTGGATTAAAGGTTAAAGAACCACTGATGTGGACAGATAGCTGGTGTTCGATCCACAGAAAAGTTTTTGCTTTCTTAAAAGATAATTCCTGACCCCCATAAAAACCCAATTACACATTTCTGTGAAAATGTCTGCCCACTGATGAGACAAACACAGTTGACGGGACCACAGGAAGGCAAGAAGTTAAGTTCCTACTAGAAACCCCTTGACCAAATGAGGGCTGAGTCCCAACTACGTATTGCAATATAAATGATTTATTTATTACACATAGACCAGCACAATATGGAGACATTCACATGAAAGGAGCCATAACTGTTAACTGATTTAAGAAACAAAATTCAATCAAGGAAGAGGTCTTGTCTTATAAAAAGAAATTATATAGAACTTACCTGTTTGCCACCAGTGATCCAAAACTGGCACCCTGAAGATTCTTTTGCACCATTCTAATGTATCAACATCACATCGCTCACCAGCTACAAACAGTGTTCGGAACCTACATTAAATAGGATTATTTTCAAATTACTCTCCAATATTTTATCATTGATAGCATTTATAGTTTGCCTTTCTCAGATAAAGGAAGTGAAATGCAGAGCAGATCTGATTACGGTTTTAAGTTGGATCACATAGCTGATAAAAGATTTTTGTCAAATATGGAGCCCACTCTACATTTTCAGTAGAGAGGATCCTGTGGGAAAGTGGGTTCTGTCTTGTACAGTCAGAGATACACTGTAATCGATAAAATAAAAGACTGCTTCCCCCCAGTTCAGTTGTATACCTGTTGTCTTGGAAAACAAATTTGGGAACACCCAATTTTCCTAGAATTCGTGGGGTTTTTTAAAAAAAAAATCTTTATTTTTAAAAGTTTTATCCTGCTTTTCTCCAGGAAGCTCAGGGCAGTGCTCATCATTCTCTTTTTTTCCCATTTTATCCTCACAATTCTGAGGATGATTAGAATGTCAGCATCTGGTCCAAGGCCACACAGCGAGCTTCACAGCTGAGAAGAGAGTAATACCTGGATCTTCCCAATCTTAATTTGGCACTCTGACCACTACATTGTGCTGGCCGGGGCTTCTTCTTTTTTAGGAAAAAGAGGTGCCGGAACTCTCGAGAGGGAAATGAAGTTTTCAATCTATATATTGAAAACTCATGAACTTTTAAACGTTTTTAAAAGAATTTTGTCAAAGAGGTTCTGGAACTCCATTGCGGCGCGTTCTCCCAGGAAAAAAAGCCCTGGTGCTGGCTCTAACGATTTGGGAGTTGGAAACAACAGATGCACGACCCCACCCTCAAGACATCTGAAGAGAGATATACTAGTAGACAAGACAACAGAAAGAGATACTTATATGTGCCCCCGCAGAGCCTTGTGCTCTGCAGATCAGCATCTTCTGGCTTTCTCTGCCTTGGCCCTGGCCTGGTGGAACATGCTCCCTCTTAAGATCAGGGCCCTGTGGGACCTGCTACAATTCTGCAGGGCCTGTAAAATGGAGCTGTTGCTGAGGCGATGGACATCCATTACATCTGGGCCTCTCCTGCGATGCAGAGATGCGCTTAGTGATTAAACATCTAGAGACTCTGCTGAATGAGTTTTCCACCACAGCATCATCTACCAAATAATCATTCAATCATCTGATGCCCAAACCAAGACTGTTTTTGGATTGTTTTAATGTTGTTGTATTATTTTAACCCTATTTATTGTATATTACAGTCACTACATTTGCTGAGTTGAGTTGAGCAACCCACCCTGAGCCCGCTTGCGGGGAGGGTGGGATATAAATCAAACAAAATAAATAAATAAATCTAAACTGACATAATATGTATGCATGCACACAAATATGCAAGTTATCAGGCTGTTTTAGCACCTTCATAGCTCACTGAACTCACTATATAATCATCTTTGTCCTTGTTTCTAACAGTAAATACACTTCTGCTATAGATTAAGCTCACTTTGTCAGACTGTGCTGCTTCCCCAAGGTAGCCTCAGGGTCCTGCTGACGGATGGCTCTAATCGCAGTCGGTGCAGTAAAAAGGGCAGCTACTCCATGTTCTGCCACCACACGGAAATAAGCACCAGCGTCTGGAGTTCCCACAGGCTTCCCCTATGGAGAGATTTGTTTTAAAGCTGTCACTGGGTAAAAGTGTTCCACAATTCTTTCATACTTTAAGCTCTGAATGCAACCGTGGTAGTGACTTGAGAGCAGCATGTTCAAGCAATGCCTATGTACAAATATGAGAAAATTATTCCTTTGCTGTACCTTAAATCCCTCAGCTCTGACTCATGGTACACTGAAAAAACACCACTATACAGAGAGCCCAATATTTCAAACATCTGTGCCAAACTTTTAGGACATTGCTGCTGAGAAATAGGCTATATCTTCAGCAAGGGATGCCCAAGTCAATGCCATAATTAATAATAATTGTGTGCTGTCAAGTTGCAACCAACTCGTGGCAACCCCAGGACCCTGGAGGGGTTTCACAGCAAGAGATGAACAGAGGCGGCTTGTCACTGCCTTCCTCTGTATGGCAACCCCAGTCTTCCTTGGCAGTCTCCCATCCAAGTACTAACTGTGGCCAACCCTGCTTAGCTTCCAAGCTCTGACAACATCAGGCAGTCAGAGTTTTGACATATTACACAGGGAATAATTACACAGGGCACCAGACAGGATTTATTATTTCGTCACATATTTGACATGGAGCAAGTCACTGTATAAATATATAAATAGCCAAGGTGGGATTTGTTGTACTTCCTCATTGTGATGTCCTGCACTGCCGGACTGCATACACAGCCAGAAGGTAATTTGTTATACCTCTCACATAACAAAACTGGCTTTATTTTTCAAGTTCTCCATCTTCAAGGGCATGCTTCCCTTCTCTCAGTCATGTATTCTGAGCAGGAGAGACTAATAAGAGATCCAGCTCCACTGTTGCTTATTATGTGGGAAGTATAAAAAAATCCCACTTGGCTATTTATGAGTTTCTTACCAAACCAGGGCAACACAGTGAGGAATGAATGAAGGACTAAAAGGTCTCACCCACTGGGCTTTGCTGTCATACAACAGCATCTTCTTAACAAGCTGTAGCTTCCTATGCCTCAAAACCGTTATCACAAACTGACAAAGAGAATTAGCCATATGCAATATTTAACTAGAAATCTCTGAAAGATTAGGAATGCTGGCCAGCCTCCAATCACCCATGCACAGCAACACAGGATGATGAGGCAGAGAGCCAACACTTTCCTGCTCCGCTCTAGCCACTAGGGGTATGTAAAAAAAAATGTAGGGTTTTTTTTGTTTTACTATTCAGGTCTCTTGGACCCGGAAAATATCAGTATTTCTGATCATTCCTGAATACCAATATCAGTTTTGTATTGGGATTTGGGTAAATATCAGGGAAATCCGAATTTATTTGGCTCCATTATATCCTATGGCGACCATCCCCACAGGGTATAAAGGATTTAAAGTTTAAATGCTTGCTGAGGTCACTTGCTGAGTTCTGCCACCATGACAGCACGACTTGGCAAATGAACTCAGAAGGCATTTAAAGAGACCACTGTCTCTAGCCTTGCTCAAGTAAAAGCCAAATAATATCAGCTGTTATATGGGCACGGCCATTTTGGTAGCTGAATAAATACCTGAAAAGTACTAATAAGGTATTTTTCAGGTATTTATTCAGCTCAGTATATACCGAGTACACATCCCTACTAGCCACTGACTGTCATAGAGATCATGACTAGAACTATAGAAGCCAGATCCTCTAGACATTCTCCACAAAGACAATTCTACATACATGGAACCTTAACAAATTCACTTACCAAGCAACAGGAGTGTTGAAATCATCTCATTCATCCTCAGCGGCCCTGCACCAAGGCTGGCCAAGAACCAAGGGAAACTAGTTGTTTTAAAACCTTTTCCTTCCCAACCCCACTTTTTCTTGGGATTGTTACTCTAGCATTGAGCTGGCAAAATTAAAGGTCCTGACTCCTTTTTGAAAAGCCAGAAAATCTATATCTGCATGTGATGGACAAGTTAGGTTCTGCCTCCCCCTAACAGCAATCAACGGGAGCTAACAGAATGCTGATGAGAGGGACCAGTTGAAAACAGCCATTAGTTCAGTTGAGCCGGTGTCTGACTGAGTGAAGCAGTAGAAGAGCAGCTTTATGGTGTCTGGAAAAAGGTTTAATTATCACAAAGAAAACCCAAATGCCTGAATAGGGAAATAGTTTAAAAGTTCAAATGAAAAGGAACTTTGTAGCCTCAGCCTGATTTTCTCCAATGTTATGTTCAAACCATAAATAAAAGTTAACTCCTTGATTGTTTAACCATGTAGGCTGGATGTGTGGTATCATGGAAAGAAGCACACACACACAAGCTAAGACATTGGCCTATATATATATATAAAGATACGAATAAATGTGGCAGCATCTGAATGACTCCCCAGCTCCAATAGTGTCTGAGTGTGCGGTATCTGAGTGAGGGGTGATTATTAAAAGGGACTGGGCTATCCTGTCCAGTGGTGTCTCTGTGAGTAAGAGAGAGGACCTGGTATGTGAAATGGTCATGGCTCTCTATGTATTTTAAAAGAGGCAAGACAGGTGGTGAACTGTGACTGCCTGAACTACTTGTAACCCTGAACCTGTGGGACAGAGATGGTGGAGGGTGGTAATAGACTCTGCATGATTGAAAAAGGCTGTCACAATGTGCATGTATGTGAGAAAAGGAAAGAAACAGATTGTTGGACTTGATATGCTGTGGCTCTCCTGCATGCAACTGGGTTCCCTCCCCCTTCCCACTGTATTCACGCCTTCATGATTCAATCTTTCTCAGTAGAAAAACAATGTAAACTATTTAGATGGCGAATAACAACAAGCCAGTGAGGTGGATTAGGTTGAGAGTGTGTGTCCAGACCAAGTTTACCCAGCACATTGCCTTTGGGGATTTTGAACTTAGACTTCCCAGATCTGATACTGACCGTTCAGGAAGACTAGAGTTTTGTAGACGAACACATAGCCCTCAGTCTGTGTCATGGTGCCTTCTCATGTTTTTGACCAGCACATGAAGCAGTTTATGTACAAAAGCGTGCAATGCCCAGGCATTTCATGTTTTCCCCTGGGTCCTAGGCGCAGAACTCTGAGCATGAGATTTATGTAGCAAATGTCAATAAATCAAAAGTAGGTTTGCAGCTTACAGATACACACTTGAACAGCATACTCAAGATTGCAACAGCACAAACATTTTGATGCAGTAATTCAGAGCAAGAAGTGTCAGTTATCAGGCACTGTTAAATAAACAAAATACTGCAAGAGTGCTAATGTTTTAAGCATGTTTTTATTTTAAGTAAAAAAAAAACTTTGTGTCCTTTATAAAGTTTATATCTCCAATACCTGGCTTTACATTTTATGACACACATGGTTTGGCCCAACAAGGTCTTGTTTATGTCAGATCCGGCCCTTCTAACAAATGAATTCGACACCCCTGGTTTATTCAAAGCCTAAACCTTTGTGTGCAAACACACTTCTTCAGACAAAACTGGAATAAAATCTCAAAAGCTAGTTACAGGAAAAAAGAGGATGAGGATAAGCTGTTAGGAGAGGCCACTCAGAGCCCAGATGCATATACAGAGCTGAAATAGGAATGGGTGGCCGGTAGGATCAATGGATGGCAGCAAATTAGCAAGTAGATGCAAGAGTTAACAAAGAGATGTGGGAATGAAATTGAAGAATGAAATTGGGGGTGCTGCTGGAGTCCAATGTCCTAATCAGCCCCATTTTGATCAACAGACACAGTTGTCCAGAAGAGAGACTCGTATCCTTTCTTCTATCAGATCTCCAACCTCGTATCACCTTGCAGTGGGGAGGTTTCTCTCTATTGCTATGAGGGTTTGAGAATATAAGGTTAAAGCTCTGGTGGGATGACTGTATATTTACAATCTGTGTTTCCTATGTTGTTGTTGTTTTCTTTTTCAATCTATGCCAATAAAGGTTTTGACTGACTGAGGCTGCAGTCACACACACTACATAATCTACTTTCAATCCACTTTCAGTGCACTTTCCAACTGGATTTTTACTGTGTGAACTGGCAAAATTTAGTTGAAAGGTGCACTGAAAGTGGATTGAAAGTGGATTATTTAGTGTGTGTGACTGCAGCCTGACTGAACACAGCTTACCAGTGGAGGGAAAATGAGAGGTATGTTCTTATTAGAGCAATCTGGGGTACAAGAAGGATCCTGAAGGTAATTAAGGATGTAATCATTTTATATGAGAATAGGGATGCACCTGTTGTGTACCGACCTGACCATGTGCGCGATCCGGTTTCAGCCGGTCCGCTCATGGTCATGCGAAGAGCCTGAGCTTTGCTCCACCAGAACAATAGATGGTCGGATCCTAGTCCCCTTCCAATTGGGAGACTAGGATCCTAGAGTTAACTCAATCAATGTAAATAAACCTATCACGGGTGTTGGGGTGTGTTTGGGTGTGGTTTTGCTTCAGGATATAAGCCGGCCTGCGAGCCAGCTTCTGTGTCTTGTTCCTGAACTATCTAATAAACCTATGAGCTGATTTCACTACATCATGCATCGGACCCAGTACTTTTCAGTGGCGACGAAGGTGGGATCCACATGACTTCATGAACGAACAAGATGCCGCAGCACAGAGCACTGCATCGCGCCCCGACCACGATCCGAGCACCATGCCCTGCATTGCTGATGACGCTTCCAGCACCGTGCCCCGCTTCTCCGGTCACCAGGCCTCGCATCGCTCCGCTCCCAAGCAACGCACCCAGTGCTGCTGACGATGGTTCCAGCCCAGCCTCGCGTCCCGCTTTGGCGACAACCCCGAACACCTCAGCATCTGCACGTGGAGCACCTAAAATAGCTGTCGCACAGGGTAACCTTCCCAAGTTTGAAGTCAGCCACCCCAAGCAGTGGGAGACCTGGTTGAAGCGTTTGGAGGGCTACCTCGAGTTCCACCAGGTCACTAAGGCAGAGTGAAAGAGGGATTTGCTGGTCAGAGCCTGTGGCTACTAAAAGACCTGATCTCGCCAAAATCCACTAAGGAGGAGTCCTTCGAGCTGCTGAAAAAGGCGCTTAACGACCATTTTGCGCCCAAACCCACGATGTTTGCGGAGCGCCTGGACTTCTTTGCAAGAGTCCAAGGTCCAGGTGAGGCGGCTGTGGACTTCCTGGCAGGGCTCCGCCGAGCGGCCACCTGGTGTGCGTTTGCCCGTCTGGACGAGGCCCTCCTGAATCAGTTCCTCGTGGGCCTACAAGAACCAAAGTTGCGCCGCAAACTTGCCAGCAACGGGGACCTGACCCTCAACCAGGTCCTGAAGGACGCAAAAGCCTATAATAAGGCACACCGCGGATCCAGCAGACGAGCCATCCACCACACTGCCTCCTGGGACTCGGACGTCTCAGATGGGGAGGAGGTTCTCCAGGTGCGCCAGTCATCTCGCCGTGGCCCACGCTCCCGAGCATCACCGGCCCCGGCAACCGAGAAGGTGTCCAGCTCCTGCGCAAGCTGTGGAGAGGCGCATGAATGCTGGACCTGCCATCTGTGGGACGCCATCTGCCACTCCTGCGGAAAACAGGGGCACATCGCCCAGGTCTGCCGATCCCGGGGAGACCGCAAGAGGTCCACCGTCCACCACGAGACATCGGACCTACACACCCTGTCAGCCCACCAGCAGCAGAACCACCACCAAGTAATGAACTTGCCCCCCCCCCGATGGCCCTAATAAATTACATGCAACGGTGCTCATTGAGGGGTTCCCGTGCCGCATGGAGCTGGACACAGGGTCGTCCTTTTCAATAATTTCTGAGGAGGGTGGCGCCACCTGAGGAAGGCCCGTGGCTCCAGGATTTTCAACAGAATCCCGAGGACATTAAGGGCTGGGGCAAGTTCAGGGTGGCCTATAAGAACTTTAATGGACTCTTGGACTTGCTGGTGGTGGGAGGCAGGCTCACGAGTTTTTTAGGACTGTCATGGTTTGGGCCCTTGGGTTTTGAGGTGATGGAGGCTAATCGGGTCGCCCAGCTGACTTTCGCCTCAGTCTGCGAGGAGTTCCTGGCCGTGTTTGATGGAACACTGGGCCGTTTCAGCGGGTCCCCGGTCACATTGGACCTGAAGCCCACAGTGAGGCCCATCCGGTTGAAGTATCGCCACCCTCCCCTGGCGCTCCAGCCTAAGATCAAGGCGGAGTTGGATTGCCTTGTTGAGCAGTGGGTGCCCGCCTGCACCATACACTGTATAAGTGGCAGGTTGATAGCACTACTGTGTGAGACAAGAAGATGGTAAGGGTTCTGGTATTTGATGAGGACTAGAGCAAGACTGGTAGAGGGATGATCACAAGTGAAATGCTCTGGAAAAAATTCTTTTGGTAGGAAAAGTAGAAGAAAGAAAAATATGTATTATTTGTGAAGTGCCCAAAGGTGCTGAACAAAACATATAAAAGAAAGGAACTGTCCAATGGTCTTACTGTCTAACTTGGAGCAAAAATCCAAGCCAGTCCTAAAGATTGGAGAAGGAAAAGGCCAAAAATATATTACAGACTAACTGAAACAAAAGAGGCATTTTTAAAAAAGAAACAGGAACAATTAAACAATGACCAACTGTTAAAGAGTTCCAAGTGTTGTTTTCAAAGCGAGAAAAGAGTTGGTCAGTGTAGAACCAGTGCATTAGAGGCTGAAGTTCTCAATGACAAAGACTTGGTTCTAAGATACCTGGATCCAAGTCTTTGTCATTGAGACCTCCAGCCTCTGATGCCTGTCATTATCTGAATGGGGCTTAGAAGCCAAGGACCTAAAAGGTATATACATTAAGGACATAGAGAATGGTGACTTGGTTGAGGTCACTGGTCAAACTGATTTTAATGGAGAAGAAGAGCTTGTATCGCAGAGGATTTGGGCCTAGCCTGGAATCCACATAGTATTATAGCCAGAGTTATTAATACAAGAATAGCCATCAGACAGAAGCACACAAATAACTGCCTGAAAAGCACAGAAGAAAGGGGAAACAGGTAGGATTTTTGTCAGTTGCTTGAAATGTCTTCTCTCACATGAAGGTTTGCAGACATTGGATGGATAACTGCAAATAAAGTGGAAAGTCTCAAAAACATGGCCATTACCAAACCAAGACAGAAAATATTGATGAAATCTGATTCCAGTATGTTGCTGTCACAGTCACAGGGCTTACTACACAAGATTTTATTCACCATGATAGGAGGAACAAAACAAGACTATAGAAATGAACACTTAAACAATTCTTACAGTAGTAAGAAATTAACTGAGCAGAAAGGGGGGGTCCAGTGTTCCTAATCACTCAGAACTTTTTTGAAGAGCCCACCTATACAGCCACATTTCCACATGTGGAAGTGCAGACAGCAGAATACCCACTCTAACAACAGCCATAATCTGACGGCATAGGCTCCTATTTTGTGCAAAATTATTTTCAGGGTTAGGAGGAGAGTGTCCAGCATTCTGGCCGCAATAAAACAACAAGGAAGTAAATTCAAATTAAATGATAGTGAAGCCTCCAGATAAGGTATTGCAGTCACAATCATGCACACAGTTCTCATTCTGCACATGCCAATTCTACAACCACTAAAGATGCCATAACAGAGAAAAGAGCAACATTATTTCAAATATCAACTTTTTTATTATTTCTTATTTATTATTTATGCATTTATGTCCAAATTGGTGGGACCTGGTTGCAATTTACAACATAAGAAATTAAAAAATTACAATAAAAATTACTAAAATTTCTATTTGATATATAATACACTACAGTATATAAAATACTGGTATCAAACAACTGCACCTTTGGCAAGGCAAGGCTGAAACACTAGACAACATAGCAAGAAAAGGACCTGGTGCTTTTCAAAACTCAGGAAAATCAGAAAAATATTTTAGTTAGGAATATGTACTCCGAGAGCTGCAGCTAAAGATCCTCCCACAAAATATTTTTTAATATGACCATAGGTAGCTGAGGAAGAAATAACCACTAAACATATGAATCTTCCCAGTCTTTCCATCTAGCCCAGTACTGCCTATTCTGATAAGCAAAAGGCCTAAGGCAGAAGTATTTCTCAGTCCTACCATCTGAGAGTCTTTTCACTGTAGATACCAGATGTTTCTATCTGGAATCTTCTCTATGTAAAATGCATGGTCTACCATTAAACTATGTTCACTCCCCTTCTCTATACAAATTATGTTTATACACAAGTACTCATATAATGATTGCCATTATATCCCAATTGCCTTCTTCCTAAAAGCATCACACAGTTATGTAGTACTGTACTATACACTGAGATATGTCTAGCAAGTTACATGGTGCACACTTTTAAGAACAGTGTATCTCTAAAATCTGAAAAAGTGAAGCAATGCTTATAAACAGCATTAAAACAAGCAATTACCTCATATAAAACAGTTGTATTCCCATGTAGCAGAGGTCCATAACAAATGTAAGAATGGCCAACTACCCAGCCTAGATCAGAAGCTGCCCACCAAACCTACAATTAAAAAAAACAAACTTAGAAATAGAACACTCAGATCAAATTCCCAGAATTATAAAGTAGCATACAAATTCAAATTACCTCTTTTGGTTGAAGTCCATATACAGCTGACATGGTCCAATTTAACATAACTGCATAGCCACCTGTTGGTCTAACAACACCCTAAGTGAGAAGCAATTTAAAATTAAGATCAATTGTGAATAAATATGCACTGAAACCTCTTCTCATCAGGGAAATTACAGTTACTATAATTTAACTTGCAAAGGCAATTACTACTTCTCCCCCTAGCTCCTAGGGGAGAAATTTCAGAGCCTATTACAGACTCCACTGTGGGGCTTATTTCTGCAGTTCTGAGAGCCAAAAACTTTTTTCTTCTAAAATAAAAGCTGGCATGCTTTGGAATTCATGTCCTGGAAAATGTGCTGAAAATGAAATCCCATTTCTTTTTGCCACAACTAGGGCAATGCAGTCAATTTAGGCCATTGACCCTACTGTGTACATAAAGTATATTTACAAGATCTATTTGACGCTTCAGGTAACTGAATGAAAAACAGTGGTTCTCAGCCTAAATGGTGCTGAAGATATGCACAGAAAGGTAGAATGCCAGAGAACAGGAACACTGTTTCAACACTTCCAGTTCCCACAGATCCATTTAAGGAAGCAGCACATACTGTGAAGATTGCCAAGATCACGACATCACAGAGGGGAAAAATACCTTTCTTTCAGACAATTCTTTAATCATTTTGGTGTATTTAACTGTAACCTGCCTGAATACACCCTAATTTGTTGTTTCAGATGTTAAATGAAATACAAACACCCAAATATATGAGTGAGTGATTTGCGTATTTGGCAGACATAAACTCTTTGTAAGGATTGGGTCCAGACTAAATTTTCCATCAGTGGTACAGAACTTGCCTGTCTACCCCTCCTACCACCCCAGTCAACTAATCGCCACAAAATATTGATCCTGGGGGACAGCAGACCCTGTATGAAGAACATCTTCAGCAAAAAGGAGGAACTGGTAGAAACTGCCAATTTTGGATCCAACCCTAATACCAGAAATGAAACTCATACAAGGAATGCACACAAGCAGTTTCCACATCTAAAATCTGATCAACTCCCCTACATAAACTCTCCTTCAAACAGTACAAAGAACCTTCATCAGACAGATGTGCAATACGCCCATCAAGTAATTGGCACTTCCTGTTAACATCTAAAGGAATTCTCAGTCTTTCTTCATGAATACCTTAGTATCCCTTTTCTTTCTCATTCCTATTCAGCCTACTCAAGTTCTCTGTTACTATAATAATTCCTCCTGCTTCTCATTAACTTGTGAGATCCTTTTGGTTATTTTTTCCAGTTATAGTACATTTCATCAAACTCATCCATATGCCATTTCCATGCAGGAGCTTAGGCTCTTGATGTTAACCACATCTAACACAATACAGAGTTGCATGATGTCATCGAGGGGAATGAACAGAACCTGAATATCCGAGACAAAACACGACAGAACTAGCTGGAATCTTCAAGGTGTACTATACAAGATGAAATGGTAGGCTGGGAATACTTTAGGGACAGGAAAAACAAATGCCTCAAATGTTCACTGACAATATATTTCAGAGTAAATTAAGAGGAATGAAATATGACCTAATGTGATTAAAGTCAATTCCAACCATGCTCATCTTCTATTAGTAGTAAGCTTTGGGAAAACATTTTCAGCCTTTTAATTAAATGCTCTCTCATGTGGAATAAAACATAATTTGGCCATAGATACTTATACTGAAAGACAGAGCCTACCTTTGGTGTGCCAGTTGTTCCTGATGTATAAAGAATATAAAGTGGGTGGTCAGAAAGAACAGGGATGCAGTCACATGACTTTGTGTTTGCCATTTCTTCTTGCCAGTCAATGTCCCGTCCTTGGGTAAGAGGGACAGTTCCCTACACAATGAAGGAAACAATACTGCAACTGTAGTTTATGAAAACAGAGGTTCCAAAATATTCAACTAGTCTTTCAAATGGAGACATCAAATGTATCAAAGCTCATAGCCACAGAGGTTTTCACAGCTGTTTTGAAAATTACAAAATGCATACTTCAAATAACCAAATCAGAAAGGTCTTGCTACAACAATAATTAAATGCTTCTTTAAGCCTCATGAAATGAAATATTTCAATTAAAACATTCAGAAATAAACAAAAAAGTATTAGCATTAACTGTAAATCTACCATGTTAGGGCGGCTGTAAATCAGAACTCTCTCAGGCTGGTGTTTTATCATCTGCAATGCTTTTTCTAAAAGTGGTACATATTCCACTTTCCGTCCAGGTTCCACTCCAAAAGTTGACGTTACAATGAGTTTGGGCTGAAAGAAATAAACAAGGATTATACATTAAAACATTATTTTCTGAAAAAACAGTAGAGGTGAAAATGACTATGTTGGTGAAATGTTTGAATAATACTATACCAGGACATAGACACAATATAGCTGTCTTGGTTGTCAATTTAATTCTGGATTAGGATCCTGAATGAATCCCACTTTCTAATCATATACATATGTAAATCAGGCCCCCTAGTAATATTCTGAGAACTGAAATGTAATGCAAATCACACCTGCCTTCTAAAATGCAGAACTTATAAAACAAGTGAGAAATAATTTCTTTCCCCTCTGCTCAGAAGATTTTTCTTACTGACTTGGCATTTAAAAATCATACCTCATATACTTATGTGGGTGTATGAATTCTTTTACGCTGAAGAGCAGAGAGGTGTTATTTCTCACCTGTTTTAGTATGTACTTAGTAGTCTTAATATGCACTTAGTAGTACTTGTTATCTTAGTCGTCTTACATAGTTGTCTTGAATTGGAAATGTATTTAAAATGTATTTACACTCTTTTAACAATACAGAAGGTTTTCAAATGGCTCTCTGTCTTAAATACTGAAAAAAACTTGGAGAAGTTAGAAGACACACACACACACAAAAACCCAGAGCTTATTCCCCTTTGTTTTGTTGTTGTTTTTGCCAGTGATTACCTCATTAGATTCCTTAAGAAGAACATAACATAAGAAGAGCCCAGCTGGTTCAGACCAATAGTCCATCTAGTCCATCATCCTGTCTCACAGGGTGCGTTCACACGGGGCACTTAGGCCTTCCATCCCTAACTGTTGCAAACAGCCTTTAACCATTGTATTCTGCTGCTAGGTATCCTGAGTGCAACGGTTCCAACCGCAGTATCCCCGTCTGATCACTCTCCTCCAGTGTAGAGCCGATTCCACTTTTCGGCCGCCTTTTTTTTTTTTTTAAGTATGCGATGTGCACTTGGGCAAAGCTTCGCCCCGTCGTTAATAAAAAATTTTTAAAAGATGCCTAGTGTAAGGCTTTAGATGAGTCCGGGACCTCATGGAGGCCAGTTTCAGAGTAAAAATTTAAAGGGACGTCTTTGCTTCAAGGCATGTTTTCCGGGTTGGGTTGTTCTGCACCTGCGCAAAGATCTTCATTATAAGGAAGCCTGCCTATGAGCATGTGCAAACTGTGTTAACAAAAAAACCCCGCTGACGCGTTCTGCTGAGCGCCTGAAATGTGGACGGGCATATCGCAATGTGCAGCGCAGTCAGGAGGTAAGTGTGATCGCGTTTCTTCCGGATCAAACTGCTCCAGTTCCAACCGGAGCAGTTTATGCCGGCTAAAATGCCCCATCTGAATGCACCCACACAGTGGCCAACCAGTTCCTCTGGACAGCCAACAACAGGGTGGACAGCTTCAAAAGGGAATTAGATAGGCATAAGGAGCAGAGGTCCATCAGTGGCTATTAGCCACAAGGTATAGATAGGGGCTCTGGGGCAAGTGATGCTCTGTCTTCTTGGTGCTTGGGGGGGCCAACATGGGAGGGCTTCTAATGTCCTGGCCCCACTGGTGGACCTCCTGATGGCACCTGGTATTTTTGGCCACTATGTGACAGAGTGTTGGACTAGATGGGCCTTTGGCCTGATCCAACATTGGTGTCTCTTATGTTCTTATGTTCTTAGGGCATAGAGGCTGAGGCCTTCCCCTGATGTTGCCTCCTGGCTCTGGGATTCAGAGGATTACTGCCTCTGAATGGGGAGGTTCCTATCAGTCACCTGGTCGCCCTAATTTGGCTCAGTTCTTCAGAATCCCTTCCTGAAAATAAAGGCTGCAGCACGGGTACATGCCCCACACTTTTCACAGTAAACAGAGAAGCAAGAAAGTCATTGAGCTTCTCTGCCATCTCTCCATCATCCTTTAGCAATCTCTTTAGTCCTTTGTCATCCAAAGGCCTTCACTGCTTCTTGAGCTGGTTCCCTACCCCGATTATATTTTAAAAAAATGTTTGTTGTCTTGATGCTTTTAGCAATCTGCTCCTCAAAATCTCTTTTTGCGTGCCTAACTATTGACTTTAATCGGGTGGGTGATAGTTCATCCCTACTTTTAAGTAACCTTTAGGGCTCAGTATTTACACCCATATCACTTCTGTTGGGGAGTTAATTCCCTTGGTACTTTCTAACTTATTTGATTCTATGCCCTCTTTGATGTACAATGCAACAGCACCACCAACCTGTCCCTCCCTGTCCTGACTATAGAGCTGATACCCAGGAATGACTGTATCCCATACATTTTCACTATTTCACCATGTTTCTGAGATACCTATTGTATTTAAATTGTCATTGAATACCAATCACTCCAGCTCCCCCAGCTTGTCTCAGAGACTTCTAGCATTGGCATACAGACACCTACCAGTATTACCCTGAGTGTTTATGCAATCATCACTCTGGACTGACATCCCAAACTGGAAGCTCCCCAGCTCCTGTTGGCTTCCCCCCAAGATTAATTTCAAAGCTGTTCCCCCATCTTTTTTATATTAATTGCCAGCAGCCTGGTTTCCTTTGGGTTCAAGTGAAGCCAGTCTCTTTTGTACAGGTTTGGCTTGTCCCAGAAGGTTCCTCAGTGCCTAACAAACCTAAACCCTTCCTCCCACCACCACTATCTCAACCACACATTAAGACCCTTGATCTAGCTGGCCCTGTGTGTGGAACCGGCAACAGTTCTGAGAATGCTACCCAATACTCTCTACAAGTATATTAACTGTATCATCTGAAGGGAACCACTATATCCACCTTCTTGTTTTTTCTGGAATTGTGGAGGTGGATCAAGATAAGGACAGCTGTCATCTCACCTCCAAATACAATACACCAACTATCCCCAAACGATCAATATCCTTATATGTACCATTGAGAAACTACAGCTTTTGGGGCAAAAGGGACTGAGAAAGAGCCTGCCACACGACAGATGGACTGGAAGGCACTCTCACTGGAGAGAACACCAAATACTTTCTGTGTGACAGTGCTTCTGTATGATCTCTAAGTGAAGTCTCTCCGGAAGAACCTACAGAAGGGCTTTGAAAAATTGTCCCGTTCTAGAGAACCTGCCAAACAATTTTTAAAATCTTCTGAAGAAATACCATTGCTTATGTCATGTTAATCATACCTCTTCCATGTCCCAAAGGGTAATCCTTGGGTCAAAATGAAAGAATTCATATTTGAGTCCACCAAAAAGCCGTATTCTTTATGTCTGACTTTATGAATGAAACGACCATTGGTACTTACCCGAGAAGGGTCCTTCTCCTCTGAGGCTTGGAGGACATCTTGTGGGTGATTCCCATCCTTCTTTAGGGAGACAGGACTAAGTTCAAAACTTCTTCCTGTTTCCTTTGGTGAGAGTCGCCCTAACTCAGTTCGGTGCTCCGAAAGCAGTACACTACATAAGAACTATACTTGGCAGTAATACAGTTAAGACAAACAGGAAGAGTTAAATGCAAAACAAGTGAAAAACCAGAACAACAGTAATAAATTCTGTGATCAACTCTCTCTCTCTCCTCATCACCGCAGATGGGGCAATTATAAATCACTGGAAGTTTGTTCTGTATGACGACCTGGGAGGGCCAAGATGTCCTCCAAGCCTCAGAGGAGAAGGACCCTTCTCGGGTAAGTACCAATGGTCGTTCTCCCCTGAGGCGGAGGACATCTTGTGGGTACTCCCAGAGCAGTAACTAATTTATGGGTGGGAGGTCGTCATCTGTTGATAGAACAGACTGCAAAACGCGACGACCGAAGGCCGCATCAGCCGAACCGTACACATTAATTTTGTAATGTCTGATAAAGGTGGATAGAGATGACCATGTGGCCGCCTTGCATATCTCTTCCACTGAAGCCCTATTACAGAATGCAGCGTTGGTAGCTGCGCTACGTAGAGAATGTGCTGTTATGCCCTCCGGCACTTTAAGGTTGAGGCTCCTATAGGCCTCGGCAATGCAGGATCTAAGAGTGGAACCTATAGCAGATGTGGACATCTTTCTTCCAATGCGTGGTGGGGAGATGTTCACAAATAAGGACTCCGTCATTCGGGTCGGTGCTGTCCTCAGAATGTAGCATTTAAGCGCTCTTCTGACGTCTAAGGTGTGCCAGGCCTTTTCCTTTGGATGTTTAGGGTCTGGAACAAAGGAAGGTAAACAGATATCCTGCAAGCTGTGGAATCTGGTGCATACTTTAGGTCAAAAAGAGGGGTCCGTGCGCAGGACTACTTTGTCTTTGTGAAAAACGCACAAATCCTTCCTAATGGATAATGCTCCTAATTCGGAAATCCTTCTGGCTAATGTGACAGCCACTAAGAAAAGCACCTTGAGTCTTAAGAATTTCATAGAGATCGTTGCGATAGGCTCGAAAGGGTGCTTGGTTAATGCCGAAAGGACGGTGTTAAGCTTCCACGTGGGGAATCTGTGTGCTTGTGGTGGATCCCGAAGAGTCGCACCTCTAAGAAAACGGCAGACATGAGGATGTTGAGAGACAGGGAAACCACCGTATTTTGGTAAAACTGTCGCTAGTGCTGCGGTCTGCCTTCGTAGCGTTGCGGCTTTTAACCCCAAGGAACGACCATCTTGCAGGAAGTCCAGAATAGACTTGATTTTTGGATGTAGAGGATTAACTTTTTTCCTTTTTGCCCAGCGTACGGACGCTTTCCACGTGACGTTGTATATACGGGAGGTGGACTGTTTCCTTGAGTCAAGAATCGTGTTGACAACCGAAGAGCTGTAGCCTAGTTTTTGGAGTTTTTCCCGCTCAACCGCCATGCGGTCAAGCAGTACCAGGCCGGATTGGGATGAAATATTGGCCCTTGGAACAGCATGTCTTCGGTTACTGGAAGAAATAGAGGAGGCAGCACCGCTAGTTCTTGCAGAGAGGTGAACCATGGCCGTCGTGGCCAATAAGGTGCTACCAAGATTATCTCGGCTTGAAGAAGACGTATTCTCTGAAGTAGACGGGGAAGCACTGGCAAGGGAGGAAACGCGTAAAGTAGATCCACTGGCCAGGGTGACAGTAGAGCATTGGTGGCTTCCGCTGATGGATGAAAAAACCTGGTGTAGAATCTGTCCAATTGGTGGTTCATCGGAGATGCGAACAGATCTACCTTGGGGGTCCCTAATTGATCTGCAATCAGGGAAAACAGATTCCGGCTCAATGTCCACTCGCACTCTTGGAGTGCTTGTCGGCTCAACCAATCCGCTTGAGTATTGGTCACTCCCTTGATGTGTTCGGCATGAATTGACAATAACGAGTGTTCTGCCCAAGTCAGCAGCAGAGTCGCTTCTCGTCTCAGGGACGAAGAGGTGAATCCCCCTTGCTTGTTGAGGTAAGCTAATGCCGACATGTTGTCTGTCCTCACAAGCACATGTCTGCCCGACACTAGTGGGGAGAAGTGTTGTAGTGCCAGTCGTATGGCACGTAGTTCCAGAAGATTTATCGGGAACTTTTTGTCTTTGGAGGACCACTTGCCCTGAATGTGGTGTTGTTGTAAGGTCGCTCCCCATCCGTAGAGGCTGGCGTCCGTGAATATCTGAATCTGGTCTGATTTCCAGAAGAACTTGCCTTGCGTGAGGTTGGATATTTTGGTCCACCAGCGTAGGCTTGCCTTTACGTGGAGTGGAACTCTTATGGAGAATTCCATTCATTGTGCAATTGAATTTTGGTAGGGGCGAAGGAGCTGTTGTAGCTGTCTGGAATGGAATCTGCCCCACTGGAGGGCATCGAAGGCAGCAACCATCAGACCCCCCAGTCGCGTCAGGAGTGATAGGGACGAACTTCTGGCCTGGATGATCTGAAGTGTCAGAGACTTGATCTTTCTTGCTTTGTCTATGGGAAGGTAGACCTTCGACGTCTTGGTATTCAGAATCATTCCTAAATGAAGGAGTTTCTGAGTTGGAAGTAGCGAACTCTTGGACCTGTTGATTATTAGACCGAAGTCCTGAAGACATTGAATGGTCACTGTCGTGTCCTCTTGTGATCGATCTCGTGATGCTGAATGGATCAAAATGTCGTCCAAATATGGATGGACATGGATGCCTCTCTCTCTCAGGCATACGATTGGATGCACTAGGATCTTTGAGAACCCGCGGGGAGCGGATGAGAGGCCAAACGGAAGAGCTCTGAATTGGAAATGGCTCTCCCCTACACAGAAACGGAGAAACTGGCGATGTTGAGGTGCAATCGGGATGTGTAGATAGGCTTCCGTCAGATCTATGGAAGAGAGGTATTCCCCAGGCTTGAGAGCCTCCATGATGGATCTCAGGGTTTCCATGCGGAAATGTCTCAATTCCACAAATTTGTTCACGTATTTTAAATCTAGAATAGCTCTCCAGTCCCCGTTCTTTTTGGGGACTGTAAAAAATATGGAGTAAACCCCTCTTCCCTGATCTGACATAGGGACTGGTTCTATTGCTTGAATTAGAAGCAGGTGGTTTATCGCTTCCCTGGTTCTCAATAACTTTTCCTGGTTCTTGTGAGTCGGTGAAGCAAGGAAGCGTGCGGGAGGTATTGACCGGAATTGTATTTTGTACCCCTCTAAAATGATTTCCTGAATTCAGGCGTTTGGTTGGGAGGTCAGCCAAGTATCTCTGAAATAACAGAGTCTCCCTCCCACCGGTGGAACCATGGAGTCATGCCTTGTTGGCTTGGGAGCCTCCCCCTTTTTCTGGTCTGCCTCCGGTAGTTCTGGGGAACCTGTTTGTGTTAGTTCCGCCTCTCCAAAAGGACTGTCTATTGTTAGACCAGGGTTGATGCCGATTGTCGGGTCTAAATCTTGGGGTGTAAGAGTAGGGACAAAAGGAAGGAGCAGAAGACGTTTGTTGTCTCCTGTCTCCTTGCTTAATTGATTTTGGCATTGCCTTCTTTTTGTCCCGGGTCTCCACCAGGATCTTCTCTAAGGAGTCCCCGAATAATTTGTTCCCTTGAAAAGGGTAGGCCGAAACTATAGATTTAGAATGGTAGTCAGCCGACTATGACCTTAACCAGACTGTGCGCCTGGCTACTACAGAAGATGCCATAGCTTTAGAGCTAAAAACCATGGCGTCCACAATGGCATCTGCTGTATAGGAGAGAGCTTGAAGCACTCTATTTGCACCCTCCAATAACCTGTGGTTATTTTCTGGTAGTAGTTGGATAAGTTTCCTCATCCAGATTATGGACGCCCTGGAAATAGTAGATGCGGCCGCTGAGGCCTTGATTATTAATGCGTTCGCCTCGTGGGCCCTTTTTAGAGCGTGGTCTGCTCTTTTGTCTAAATTGTTCTTTAACATACCGTGGCCGTCTTCAGCAAGTAGTCCCGAGAATTGCAGAGCTGCCACGGAAGCGTCTATAGCCGGAATCTGCAATAAATCTGAGACTGAAGGAGTTATTTCATCAGTAATCTCTGATGCCCCAGACTGTATTTTTAGAGCAGACAAGGTTTTGGTTAAGAGGTATTGCAGATCCTCTGGCTTAAAAAAGCGAAAAGACTTCTCCCTAGAGGCAGGAGTCTTTGAAGGGAGTTCTCCCTCATCTTCTTGATTTGAGGAGAATTCCCCTTCCTCTCTCTCACTCTCAGTTTGAGAAAGATTGGCATCATCATCCCCCTCTTCTTCCCCTGGGCCTCTATTTTGGCCCAAATGTGGTCGGCTCTCTTTAGGACCCTGGGGGAACCTTTTCTTAGGAGCCTTAGTAGGCCACTTTCCTGGGCCTTTTGGTTCACTAGGGTGGGGGGAGGGGGGGCGAGATGGAGGAGATCTGGGTCTGCTACGTGAATGGTCATGACTGCACCCACCCGATGCATAGAAATTGGCTATTTCCTCCCTCATTGCATTCCTGAAAAAGGCCATCGCCTCAGGGGAGATGGGAGGGGGGGAGTATTCAAAACGTTACCATTACCACTCCTGCAGTCAGACGTTTCGGCTCTCCTAAGCTCAAAATTGTGGTGTCGATGAGGATTCTGCTCAGCACTGTAGGCCATCCCCGTCTTGTGGGTAAATGCGGCTATCGGACTGTAAAATGGCCACCGCCTCCGTCACGGGCTCGTTAAGTGCGTGCATAGATGTTTTGGCGCGCTTAGCCTCGGTGCTGTCCTCTCGCTCTGCACCGGGCGACGAAGCGATTCTTTTCTTAGCACTTCGGCTGCTAAGGGCTTGCCCGCCGGACTCCGCTTCTGGAGATGAAAGGAAGCCGTCCTTCTCTCCTCTATGTGCCATGACTGGCCAGTAAAGTAATCACCTCCGCTTGAGGGCTATTAGGTGATTATTGCCCAGTGGGAGGCAAGGAGGAAAGAAGAGAGAAGACGGGGCTTTTTTTTTTTTTTTTTTTTGTAGTATGAAACAAGGATATAAGGAAAGGTTAGAAGCATGAGAGCAGGAAAGGTTAGAAGTAGGATAATTGTAGATAGTAGGTGGTAATAGAAAAAGAAGATGTTAGCAGAGCTAACCCTAAGCTGCTCTCCCTACTGAGGCAGGAAAAGAACTGAGTTAGGGCGACTCCCACCAAAGGAAACAGGAAGAAGTTTTGAACTTAGTCCTGCCTCCCTAAAGAAGGATGGGAATCACCCACAAGATGTCCTCCGCCTCAGGGGAGAACCAGACTTTCTGTTCTAGACAACCTAGTACACTCTCCCATTGTACATAGCATTTATGGGGAGAATATATTTGAATAAGGTTACACTTCTACTGTTACTGTTTTTCTCAGATTTCAGAGCAGTTGCTGTAGTAATCTCCTACAGGAAAAGTCTTGCAGCATTTTAAAGAGTTGGATTCAACGATACTGGTTAATCAGCAAAATGGCATTCAAGCCACTTAATTCCAATTGGCAAAGGGGGAATGATTTTGCCACTGTAGGCTCCCACTTAGTCATACACACCGAGAAAAAGAGAGAGAGAGAGAGAGAGAGGTCCTTTCCACACTAGACCTTAAATCCTGGTTCAACCCTGTCTCCGAATTTACATTCTACACCAGACACGAGTTCACCTCCGTAATTATCTCGGGGTATTTTTACATTCTACACTACACTCGAGTTCACCCCCGTAATTATGTCGGAGTATTTTTTAGTT